CTGTGACCACCACAGGGGTTTCTGGCCGTAAACTATTTTCCTTTGGTCATATGTGGAGGTGGGGGCTCTGGTGAGAGGACCTACCTATCGGCTTGTCAGCCTGAGAAATTGGCTCCTACTGTTGGCAGCGGTGGGAATGGCACCGAGTATTACACCGATGGGTCAGACCAGACCTGGGTTCAGCAATCTCAGTACGTGAGTTCCGGCTAAGAAAGAATTCAGAGCCAAGACTCAAATGAAAAGAGAACATTTATTTAGACAATCACAGAGGTGGAAGAAATGAGTGGTAGAAGAATGGGCTCAGGAAACAAGTTACAGAGGCCAAAGGAGGGCCCTTGGAGCTTAGGAGAAAGAGAGAGGGAGCGGGGAGGGGGAAGGCATGGGGGTGCTCCCAGGAGGGAGAGTGTGCTGGGTCCTCTGCCCTGAGGGTTTAAGGCTGGGATTTTAGGGGAAATCCCAGGGGGAGGATCTAATAGAACACTCATCAGCTTTCCAGGTGTGTCATTTCAGGGTGGTGATCTCCACTGATTGGTCGGTGCCAGGGCAGTGAGTCATATGCCACTGCAGGTGGTCCTGATGTCGGCATTGGTGTCGTTTGTCTGGTTTTTCTGCTTTTCTGGGCCCGGAGCTGAAATACACCTGAGGCCTCTGTGATGTGAGGCCTCTGTGATGTGACCTCTACGGGAGAGCCAGGCGCATGCAGGGACATACTAGGGGGGTAAGGTCACCTTGAGGGCAAGGTCCTTTCCCCCCAGTTTTGCTGGTTGCTAGGTGCCTGGGACTTTCCACCCTGGTGACCTTCTGTACTTGGCCCATTGTCCTTGAGCTGCTCATATCTGTTTAACTCCTACCACACTACTTTCTCATTTTACTTGTTAGGCGTTTTCCCTAACTTCTTTCTATCCTGCTGCAAAGGGACAACAATCCTGCCACCCTGCAGCTCCATTTTGGGGTATTGATATTAAGCTGTTTATTAAGAAACAAGAACCAGAAAGGGTCTTTCACACATACACACACACGCACTTCCTGCCCAAGAGATTCAGACAGAGAAACCTGCTTACTTAGGATGTGGCCCTACTGAGCCAAATTTGCATTAACTGTGATAAACAAGAAGGCTCCAGGCAGGGGCCTGTTAGCTGGATACCCCCGTGTCCTGTGGTTTCTGAGTGGCCAGCAAGGATATGCCTGCCAAGTGTGTTCCACTCCCTGTAAAAGCCCGGAGTACGTAGCAGGCCAGACGAATGGCATGAAGTATTAAAGGTAATGAAAAGCAAGGATCTGAAACCAAGATTACCATAACAAGCAAGGCTATCATTCAAAATAGACGGTGAAATGAAGAGCTTTCCAGACAAAACAAAACCAAAAAACAAAAAAACCCTAAAGGAAACATCACCACCAAAGCGGCACTACAAGAAATACTAAAAGGACTGCTCTAATGAGAAGAAGAAATAGAGAGAAACCTAGGCATACAGAATTAAAAATGGCAAGAAATAAGTACCTATCAACAATAACATTAAAAGTAAATGGATTAAATGCTCCAATCAAAAGACATAGGGCAGCTGAATGGATACAAAAACATGACCCCTCCCGGGGTGGGCTGCCTGCCAGAGCGGCCCTTTATCTAATTTGCACCAAAGGTGCCGTTTGCTGCCGTGCTGTCCGCCTGTGGCGGCCCGTGCAGGCGAAGTGCCCTCCTGTTCAATTCACCACGAACAGGAGGCTTAAAAACACAAACAAGGGGGCCGGCCAGGGGCTCAGCTGGCTGAGCTCATCCCATGCTCTAAGGCAGCGGTTCTCAACCTGGGGGTTGAACGACCCTTTCACAGGGGTCGCCCAAGACCATCGGAAAACACATATATAATTACTGTTTTTGTGATTAATCACTATGATTTAATTATGTTCAATTTGTAACAATGAAAATACATCCTGCATATCAGATATTTACATGACGATTCATAACAGTAGCAACATTACAGTGATGAAGTAACAACGAAAATAATTTTATGGTTGGGGGTCACCACAACATGAGGAACTGTATTAAAGGGCCGCGGCGTTAGGAAGGTTGAGAACCACTGCTCTAAGAGGTTGTGGGTTCGATTCCCTGTCAGGGCACACACCCGGGTTGTGTGTACAATCCCAGTAGGGGGTGTGCAGGCAGCAGCCAATCTCTCTCATGGATGTTTCTATCTCTCCCTCTC